TATCGACGTTGAGACTTTCAAGTTTTTTTTTCTTCTTCCTCACTCAGCGCGATAATCAATCATGCTGCCCCCCCGGCCCTCCCAGCGGAGTCGCGGCAACTCGAGCTCTGGCGTGCAGGGCCTGGAATATCGAGACTCGCAGGTGTTGAGGGCGTGTGCAGCACCTTGTCCACTGCCAAGGTGCGGTCCCTTGCTAAGCTGATCCTTGCATCTCTTTGACCAGACTCTTTGCTGGCCAATCTCCACACCCTCGAACAGCTTAAGCTCGGTCCTATCACAGCAACACTACTGGTGAGAACGTGGGAGGAGCAAGAGCAGAGGCAAAGATTAAGGCGAGGCTAACAGTGTCCGGTATGCTTAGATCTTACCTTGCTTTTTACTCTAGGTACGAAGCATTATCTCCGCGGCCGCACAGCGATAGTCATCCCACGAAAAGCGGCCGCGACCTGCAAGACAAGTTGGAGGGGGTCAAGGTTCCGGAGTCCTATTGTTGTGTTCCATGTCGACATCGTCATGGGAACGCTCTCAACTCCATCGTGACTATTGGAAAGCAAAGCATCGTTGCAGCACCGCCCGCTGCTACCCTTCTGGCGAGGCAAGACAAGACAAGCGCCCTACAAACTCACATGCGCAACAGGCCATCTCTGTCTGTCGTGACACACATGGCCACTTCGCGCTGCGTCCCGTCAATCTCTTGTATGCAGCGCCAAGGCTCGTCTGCCTCGTTGCGACTGATACTGCTTGCGACTATCGATCAGCCGCATCTTGCCTCGAAACAAACTTTTCGTATCGGCGCTCTCAGGCGCCCTCCCGTATCGCTGTCACAGAGGCCGGAAGGGCGCTAGAATGTCAGGTCGATGCCTGTAGCCGGTGCCTCTGAGCGCTAGGAATCGGGCCTGGCGCGGACTCCGCACGACGCTCCAGCGGCCCCTGGCACTTTGACAGTGGCTTCAGCGGCACAGGCCGGAAGGCGGACTCTAGTGGACGACAAGCCATACAACTCGTAAAAGCAGCAACACACGACCGCGATTAGCTGCCGCTGTGGCTTGCTCAGCGCTGAGCCTCTTGCGCCACTCTCTGCCCTCCACGAGCCGTGCCTGAAGATCCCCTGCTCATGTCGCTCTCACCGCCTTGGATACAACCACGCCCTCGCAGACACACATTCAAAAGAACATCGTTGATTCCAAGGTTTTTTTTTTTTTTTCACTTTAACGCCTCCCGCATTGGCACTAGCCAGGGCACGTCGAGCAGCGCTATCTGGTAGCTACAGATTAAAGTCGCTAGAGACGCTGGCAACCTCGTAATGGCGAGGTTTTCGCCGCTGGCCACCACCACGTTAATGCTGCCAAGAGGCCGGACCAGGGAAAATAGGGCACCGAGAGAAGCCTGAGAACTTTGTCGGTCCTTTTTCCTTCTTCCTGTCACTCAACAACGGCTAGCTTGCTCCATGACGTGGGAGACCTTGCCGGGTAAATTGATGTTAACGCAAAGGAACCATGACAAAGTTCCGTCTATGCATGTGTAGTTGAGCTACTTCGGAGCGTGTGGCCTGGAAGAAATCCAGCCAACGGGCTCGGGGATTTCGGGGCTGAATGTTACGGTACAGAAGAAAATCTTGTTCCTGGTAAGATAATAACTCGGGGCACAACTCAAATTGATTGCCCTGACTAGAAGCAATCTTTGCAACAAAGATGACTAGATCCTTGATTCCGAAGCTGTGTCCACTCTGGATGAAGATGCAAGGGAGAAATCACTTATAACTCTCGTCTCCGCCCTCAAATACGTCATGCAGATCCTCCTGATGAACTTACCTGTCCCTAGACCCGACACATAAAACATCAATTCCGTCGATATCCCCACCGAAGGGGCTCTACAAACCATTGTCTGGTCAGCGCGGGCTGTTCAGGGCCACTCAGGCGCCGATACAAAGAAAAGAAGCAGAGGAATTGCGAAATGGACTAGATGCTGCCCGCGGCTAGCTGCTCCACCAAGCTGATTGATCCAAAACTATGTCTCAGTCTCGGTCGACGCAATATCATGGCGAAGGACAGCAAGTGCTCCGCAGAATCGGGTTGGGATGGACCGGGCAACGAGGCGGAAGTCCCAAGCTGAGCTGAGCTGAGCTGAGCAAAGCTGTAGCCGGGATAACTTTCGCCGACTCCCACAGTTGGCCATAAGCTGGTCTTGCACAACACCGACTCCCAGTATCTAGAGAGAATCTCGAATATTTACAAAATCGCGGCAACGGGCTCCGGCTTGGCAAGGTGGCAAGCGAAGTTCTGGCTCCACGATATACTGCGAAGTACGGCACTCAACTGGAGCTCCCCAGCAGGCAACTTTTTACCCGTAGATGGCCAAAGACTTTGACGGACAAAAAAAAACCCATTGTCCCGCGTTTGAGAGAAATAGCGGCAGCTGAGTTTCAAGGCTAAGAGCGCGGCTTGACTCCGCTTTGTGGGGGTTTTTGGTTCAACTGCTGGCCTCATCCTGCTGGCCTAAGTCGCTCCCGGACGTCATCAATCTCTAGGACTTGGAGGAGTCGATTCTAGCTTGCGGCCGCAGAGAAAAGCCGGTTCAATTGAAGGCTTCATACGAGTACTCGTATTCCAGCCGCGGAGGAAAAGGTCAGGAGTTGAAGAGCGAAAAGAGCTGAGATCGGCAATCCAGATAGATGGCCCTGATGGCCCCCACCACCAAGCAACAACTCGACAGCCAATGGACGAGGCTCACTCTATTTTTATCGGCAGTTAGCGTCCGCGACGCCTTTGTTCGCTGCATGTCTCAGTCAAGCAACCACTCCCTCGCATCTCGTATAGATGACAGGTGGATTGTTGCGATTCTACTACAGAGTAATGCGAGTGTGTTCCTCAGATGGCAAGCCGAAAGACGAGACACGATTGGCAATGAGATGCTGAAAGCTGAGTTGGGTACGGAGCGCAACGACCACGCATCGGCCCTTGCTTCGGCCGCTGTTCAGCCCTGAGAGACATCATGGTGCGCTTGGAGGGAAGCCAACTGCCGATGTCATTCCACTGACGACTTATTGGTTGCGCAACACCAGTTGCTTCAACTTGGCGACCGCTTAGGAGTACGGCATGTACGAGCATGTCACATAGGTGCTGGTACAAAAACTTGCGTTACCTTGGTATTCTACTAATCTGCCCAATGGACCAACGAAACAACTTGGTCTCATGGTCACCAACCATGCTATCAGAGAGTCAATTTTGACGCCTTTCGTACTACCAGCTGATGTCCACCCGGTCAACTCAGCCTACCCAACAGAAAGCGGTGGCGTATACATGGTGAAAGCAGCAGTGCCCTACCTAGTGGATGGGGCCGTTGGAATCATGCCGTATTGTGCTGACCAGAGGGAACCCTGTAATCCAATCCAATCTCTCTTGACAATGCTGAGAGACATGCAACCTTTCCTCGAATACAAGACGCCATGACTGCAGGAGATGCCACAAGTAGTACAAGTGAATGAAAGCCTACTCGGTTTGCCAGATAAGAGCTCCGAGTTGAAACTTACACCACACGCTTACAACGGCGGTGGATCAGCACGGAGTTTATCCATAGCCCTCTCGTTTCCGTTCCCACAACCGGAGAATCTCCATAATACTACGGCGAGACGGACGGAGCATGACTCGAACAAGATCGGGTAGCTTCCCGATGAGGCCCTACAGGGATGGCGCCTGGTTGGCATCGCCATCATCGTCTCTTTTGTTCCTATCAGCTCTCAGGCTGCCGGTGCTGCGACCGTAGCGTGGCGCTACTCGACTTGAGTTCCAACGAATTCCGCTTTTTGCGGTCGCGCTTGTGATGCATCAGGGCTCGTATGGACGCAGGACCGGGGGGCTGGGATGTCGCATTCGCTCCAGCGATTGGGTGGCACGACATTCACGGATTGGACACTGCAGGATTCCATGCTGGCAGGATTGATTCGCTTTGCTTTAGCAGCCTTTGTTGTTCGTATCCTCGACTTTGCAAGGGCTCCATGCCAGCACACCCAAACTACTGTCGGGATGCGTCAATGATGCAGCCGCATTTGCTTTTGGCATCGTTTACTCGCTGTTGTCTTGACGTGCGTTTTTTTTTTCTCTCTTCTACTATTACGGCGATGATGCATGGATGATACATTGTAGTTGCTGCAACTAACACATTCAACCCCTGGCCTTGCTGCAATGTCGGCTCACAGCTTCAGCTGGCCAGGTAGCATTGGGCCATGCCATTGATAACCAAGTACACGTACTCGTACATCACGCAGGGAGAAAAAGAGGCTTTCAAGCCAATCAAGGCTCATCCCAGCCGCTGGACGATTAGCTGCGGGCTAGGCTCTGCGTCCGATGTTGGGCCAAGTGAGAAGCCGCAATGCCGATCATCCAGGAACCTCGTAAGTTTCCAGCCATTGCAATATACACGGTGCTACAGTAAACAGAGCCAAGCTCCAATGGCAAGCCGTAGGTAATCTAGCCAACTGCCCGATATCTCTCTCCTCGCCTCCTTGCATCTCTCTGCCAGCGCACAGCGTCAAACAATCATACCGACACCTTTTCAGCTCCGTATCTTCGTCCCATTCTGTTGCTACCTGACGTTATTCCAGGCTAGCAAGATTCTGTTGCATGCTTGTACCGAGTGCTGTATCCATACGAGTCCAGCCTTCGCCTATTTTCCCCTCCGCTCTTCTAGTACAGGTATAATACCGTTTGTTGTAAGTGTTGTCGACAACCTGCAATTCAGCTCGATTTTTAGCTTACACACTATTGTCAGGCTATTCATACCCCTTGGAGTCAATCCCTTTGCTCTCACCCTCTGGACTTTGTGGCAGAAGAGTCAAGTCTCATTGTCTTCAATCACTGCTTGCTCCTGAGTCTGTTGAGAACCGACGACAGCTGCTATATACTGCCATAGCTTCTTTTCCCTGGCCGGTATCAAAACATCTCTCTCGAGCTCTGCCAGCCACATCACACACTTCTTACCTTCACAAACTCGAACCCGTGGCAATGTTCTCAAAAAGTCTGCTAGCGTTGGCGACGCTACTCGTCTCTGGCGTGTCAGCAGATCCCAGAGATCTGGGAACTGTTCTCGCTGGCAACAAAGATCTATCTACATACTATTCGCTCATCCAGGTATGGATAACAGATTCATATCTCTTATTTTAGTTTACAACTAGGCAACCAATTGGGCTGTGCTAATACGCTTCTATAGAAATATCCGGATGTTCTTCTTCAGCTTCCCAGCTATGCAGGCGTAACCGTACGTTCTTTCTTGTGTTCATCTCATCGTCATTCTTCAACTACCCTCATGGTCTCATGAATTGGAACTAGTATCAATTCCATATACCTCTCCTACTAACATCTCATCTACCAGATCGTTGCACCTTCTAATGAAGCCTTCAAAAACATTCCCTACACTGCTCTCAACGGTGTATGGGATCCAAATAACAAGGCCACCACCGTGCCACTCCTGCAATACCATATCCTCATAGGAACGGTTGCAACAGCTGGTCTTGACACTGGCCCAACCTACGTCCGGACCACGCTTCTCAAGAGCCCTCGCTACACCAACGTGACGTTTGGCCAAAACGTCCTCATCGCCAAGCAGCCCGGCGACACTGTTGTCTTCACCACCAGCATGGGTACTCGTTGCACTCTCCAAGAAGGCGACATTCCCTTCCAGGGCGGCCTCGTCCAGGTGGTTGACAACTTGTTGATTCCTCCGTCTCGCATCGAGAACACGACCGAGGCGTTCAACGTGCCCAACTTCCTGGGCAGCCTCTACGCCTCCAAACTCATGCCCAAGGTCTCTGACGAGCAAAACATCACCGTGTTTGCTCCCGTGGACAGCGCATTTGCCTCTGTCGGCGGCTCTCTCAAGCACCTCGATGCCAAGGCTCTTGCACGCGTCATGGGATACCACATCGTGCCCAACCAAGTCCTCGTCTCGTCCTCCCTCGCCAACGGCACACGTCTCGAGACACTCGCCAAGAATCAAGCTGGCACAGCTCCTGAGGCTCTCGTCATTCGCCAGTCCGGCAACAACAAATACGTCAACTCAGCCCAGATTGTTCAGCCTGACATTCTCCTCGCCAACGGCATCATGCATCTCATCTCCAATGTCCTCAACCCAGATGCCGATGCCGCCATTCCCAATCCCACCGCCGTCACACAGGCGCCCGTGTTTCCCGTCAGCACGGCCCGCAATCCCTTCACCTCGGCTTTACCTTGCACGGTGAGCTGCCCCGTTACGACGACGGCGGCTGATACCACCACGGAAGCAGCCGAGACAAGCACCTCTACTAGCATATTCACAACCAAGAGCAAGGCCGCCGCGGGAGCCATGGCAACGGCAAACATTCGTGCTGCGGGAGCGGCTCTGGGTCTGCTCGGCGCAGGAATGATTTTGTAAAAGCCCAAGGATGGATTTTTCTTTTTTTTTATCATATAGATGCATATATCTTCTCTTCATTTTGATAGTGAGGAAGATTTCAAAAGCAGAGTCATGGACCTTCACTGGTATGAGTAGTAATGAGATGGATTTAGACGTAATGAGTGATGGATTGTTTTTTTGGACGTCAAGACTATCATGATAGAAAGGGGGCATGTTTGTTAGCCAAAGCTAGTATTGAAATATGATGATGATTGAACTATAAAATGAGTATTTTCGGCATAATCGAAGCGTTCTTGAGTCTATGTATTTGCCTCCTATAGATACGCAAGAGTCTCAAGCCAAGAATCTCTATGATGATGCTAAGTTGTAGGTGATCATACGAATAACCTAGAGTTTGCCAATTACGTCTCCTAGAATTTGAGTAATTCTCTCCGAGCTGATGTTCTACTTTATAGCCTTTAAATAGTTGGGAATAGCTTCACCTTCATCGTTCATATGCAAATTAAATAGCTCGAGATTGTAATGTTGACATTTACGACATAGATACTCATCTAATACTAGCGACAAACTGAACCTATTATTACCAACATTACTCTCACACCACAGAATTCTCAATCAATATCATTAAACGAAATATGCAGGGTAAGGCATCTATACGATCTCATATCACCGTAATTCAGTAATAGACATGGTGTAAAATCCTTGCATCATGTTGTAATACTTCGCCTATTCCGAGGCGGCTCTCTACATTCTCAATCCATTAACAAGGCTCATCGGCCATCATGATACCTGCACCCTATACAAGCACTACAAACAGAATCCACGGTTCCCCGAAGTTGTTGCCCATTGCTGAGACTTCCCCTATGCCTTTCCGAGCTCCCAACGCCACTGCTGTAAAGCAAATCAAATTATTCCCAAGCCTAAGCCGTTACGCCACCGGAGAGATGATCTTTCACCTGTAGTTACGGCCTCTGTTCCGCGAATTGCTTCGGTCACTGCCGAAGCTGCGGCTACGACTTCGACGTCGGGTATCGCGATCGTCATATCGGCCGGCTCCATTGCCTCCTCCACCGCCGCCCCTCCGTCTGGGCGCTGGTGATCTAGATCTCGATCGGGATGAGTATGAGCCGTTGGATCGACTGCGGTATCGACTACCGCCACCTCCACCGCCACCTCCCCGAGAAGAGGGGACACCGCCAGGAGATCGAGCTGGCGACAGGGAGTTTGGTCGATAAACATCGGATCGAGGGCCATATCTGCTTGAAGGCGAGAAGCGGCGACGTCCACCTCCTCCACTACCGCCGCCTAGAGGGCCAGAAGGCGGACCACCCCCACGAGAGTTTTGGAAGGGGACTCGAGGGTCGATGTTGGCACCTCGGCGGGCAAGGGGAGGGCCGGGTGACTTCCTGCGCGGCAGCACGATAGAAACGTTGATTATGGCGCCGTCGACTTGTGCCTCGTGCATGTATGAGATTGCAACTTCTGCATCGGCTTGGTGTTCGTACAGGATATACGCGGTGCTTCGGTTGGTTCCAGCTATAATGCGTCCATCACATGTCAGCTACTGAAGTCGTTCGACGGAAACTGGGGTGGGGAGCAACTGACAGGTTCTGTTCATTGGCAGATCAAGGTCCTTAATGTGGCCAAATTGGCCAAAGATTTCGTAGAGATGCTCTTCATTAACATTCTTTGACAACCTCTCCACCACAATCTAGTTTGTAGCTGGTTAGCCAAGCTGCCCTACCACTGGCCTCTGAAAAGGGCCATTAGCTGCGAATACACCAACCTTGGTGGCTCTCTTGGGGGGGCCTTCGCTGGGCGAGCGACTGTCTCTACCACGCTCACGGCTCCTGTCACGACTGCCGCTCCTGTTTCGGCCATTGCGACGTGGTGGAGTGATTGATCGCGACCTGGATCGAGAACGCGACGGAGAGCGCGAATCATGACGACGACGGCGATGGGTTGGAGGCGGCGAGCGCGAGCCGTTGGAATTGGATCGTGGAGGCGTGCGCGATGAAGCCCGACGACGGCTTCGGGATGGAGATCGTGAGGCCATTTTGTGATGCTGAAATGGCGGATCTTTGGTGCGTTGGGACGGTTCAACAGGGAGGTTTGAGCTTTGTGACGGCCGGCCAGAGCTCATCGCCGTTTCTGGAGCATTTGATGCGTGGTCACGTGATGGCATCTCAGTTATCTGCAGCGGCAGCATGGAAGGAGCTGAAAGAGCTGCATGAGCCTCGCTTTCTCCCCTCTTTCACATTACCTCGAAGGTGCATGGAAATATATGCCTCTGTATGATTTGTATTTGATGTGATTTTTAATTGACCCAAGTTGGCACCGAGAATTGCTCGAAAATCGCCCAAACATGCATCTTTGTTTTCTCGCCTCAAGTGACTTATACCTCACCAGCGCAGGCCACGATGCACAACACACACATCCAAATGTGGTAAAAGGTGCTACTGGACATGTTGGAAATCGAACAACTTGTTGCTTTGCATTGGAATCATCTTTCGCACGCACGATGAGTTACTTGAACGGCGTACACGACTCGTCGAGCGCTTTACCTTGGTAAGTGGTCTAGACGTTAGGGATATTAAACATTCGGTACATGTTTCAACAACTCCCTACTCTAACGGACTCAAGTGAACCCAGCATCCGTTAACCATGGATATAGTTGAGCCTATTTCATGCAGCATTGGCCTATCATCTCCAGGCTGGACGTCGCCAAATGTCTGGAGCACCCGTGTGATCAAGTACAGCATCTGGGTCAGAGCAAACTGCTGGCCAATACAGATTCGAGGGCCGCCGCTGAACGGAATATATTCCCACCTAAGATGATGTCAGTCTTATTATTCGCAGTCACTAGTGGCAGCTCCATCGAAAGAAGTGCTTACCCTGGCCGATGCGTTTCCCATCTCTCGGGCCGAAATTCGTCAGCGTCATCACCCCAGTAGTCTTTTCTACGATGCAAGCTGTAGGTTGAGAACCGACAATCTGTTCCTTTAGGAACGAAGAGAGGGCTCTGGCCATCGGGACCACCGCCCTTGGGCAAGACCGTATCCCGTTCAGCAGTGCGCATGTTGCTTGCTACAGGAGCATACAGCCGTAAAGCTGCAAGGTGTTGCGTAAGTCTCCCGCATCAAGCTCAAACAAGCGAAAAGGCATAGTACTAACTTTCTTTCAGCACCATGTTCAGATACTTGAGGTTTTTCAGCTCTTCCCAAGTGGGCTTGCGGCCATCCAGCTCGGCAATTTCCTCTCTCAGCTTCTTCAGCACATCCGGTCGTCGAGCCAGGACCCAAAAGAGCGAGGACATGGTACTGGCACTCGTGTCACGGCCACCCAGTATCAGCGAAAACACTTGATCTCGCACCTCGCGGTGAGAAGCTCCCGATTTGATAATTTCATTCATAAAGATGTACGGTCTCTCCATCTTCTCTTGAGCAAGCGCCTGGGATACGTGGCGGTCGACAAACTGCTGGGTGATCTTGACATACTCATCAAATTTCCTATCTGGTTTCAACAACGCCAACCACCCTAAACGAGCGCGGTTCGTTGAAGTAGTGAGGAGGTAATCAAACGCCGTCATGAATTCCAGAGACTCTTGTGTGGGGGAAGTCAAAATAGAGGTTGAATATCCGAACCTTGCAAACGGTAAGTATTACTTCACTGAGATAATGCCCTTCTTGCTTACATGAAGTCAGTTGATACGTCCATGGTGAAATGATATAGCAGCTTGTTCATATCAAACTTGGATCCATCCCGTGGAAGTCTTGCCAAGAAGTTCTCAACATGTCTATCGGTGCACTCTAGATCGGCAATCTGGTTTCGCACGAAGCTCGGGCGAATCATGGCGCGTGCATGATGCCATTCGGGTCCGTTGACGGCGAAGATGGAGTGAGGGCCAAGTGTTAAGATGCTCACTTGTTGTCGCAGCGACTTCATCGGCCAGTCCTCGAATCTCGTCGATAGCAGGGCTTTTAGATTCTCAGGCTCTGTGGTAATAAGCATCCATTTACCCGTGGAGTTGAACCAATATGTTCCATAAGTGTTGAGAAGCTTATCCCATAGTTCCAGCAATTTATATTCCTTGAGCGCCTTGACCGAGATACGAAGAATGTCCAAGCCTAAGATCGGATCTCGGTGAGGATATACACGGGCCAGCTTGCATCCATTGACGCGCGTGCCCCGAAGGTGGTGATGCTTCCTGCGGAGAAGAGCAAACGCTGGAACCAAGACAATGGCGACGCCAAGGGAAGCGTAGGAGGAGAATGGCGTGAGGTGCTGGTTTGCGGCGACGAGGGAGATGCGCTCAAGGACCGACCAGGCGATGTAAGTGCCAGCGAGGGCAGCGCCCACAAAGGCCGCGATCTCACTCACGATGAGTGACATGGCAGTGTTTCTGCTCTGTTGCAAGCTTGTACAGCTGCTGACGAAAGAATGCGACCGTCTAGTAATCGCACACGGCTTGGCATCTACAGCCGTTCTCACGACATGCGGATGGAGTTTCGCATGACGAAACGAGAGGCCAGGGAGAGCCCAGCAATATATACGAGTGTGAACACCTATATAAAGGTACGGGCATGAGCATTGCGCTTACCCTCCGCTCTTAAGTCCATAGCTTCTCCTTTCGTCACCTGTTCACATAAACCTCCGCATAAGGTATGAGAGATTGACCAAGAACGGTTCGGTTCGATACGTCAGATGTCTATTTAAAATAGCCAATTACAGCAACTGGCGGCGTTCTCCCCGCCACTAAACAAGGCTAGGTTGTGAGAGTTATATAACCAACTACTACCACCCAAACAACAAATGCCCGACCCCAGCAGGGAGCACCGTGCGATGTCACATTGATTAAATGCTCATCGCTGTTTTTAATTACGTTACAATTGGGAAAAAGAAAGAGAAACAAGGAAAACGGGAAACAATCACTGCGCATACGAAACCAACGAGAACAAGCGCGGAGTGCACCATATGATTCACCATGATGAAACTTGGCGGACTTGGCAAGCGTAAGACGAATATGACATGTTGCGTTCTTCTCGTTTCTTTCAACCCTTTTCATTGCCTTGCTGATGCTCTCACTTGTTTTAGATCAACATTTGCGCCCGTTTTTATGCAAGGAAATGAAGCTTAAGTCGACAGGCTGTGGTCAGGTTTCAGCTCTCCCTACATGCTGGCGACAAGCCTGAATGAGTTGGCAAAGTTGAAAAGCGCCACGGGATTCAGACAACCCTTGGCTATACCACGTTGGACAAAGCTCTGGCAGCTTCACATGCAAATCGGCCATCCAATGACTGGGGGCGAATTACATTTGATTTCGTCTTTAAAAAGCTGCCAGTTTCGGCACAAGGTCTGCAGCCTCGGCTGCCCCGCCTTTATGGCCGCACATTATGCTACCCCAATATGTGCTCTCCAAACATCCATTTCTGTGCCCATCTAGGGTCCTCACCCGCGGACACCGGCTAGGAGACGATCGACTGGTGAATGAGGAGGCTCGAGGGGTCAACCGTCATGTTAAGGCCGACGCGGAGGGGAAACCCGCATCGGCTGTATCGATTCCTAGTGCTACGACGTGGATCTTTCATTCTCGCAAGGGTTGATTCGCTTAACGAGCTCAGTAGATCCGACCAAGCGTGCTCATTTAGCATACGGAGTCCATACCGAGACTTTGGGGATTTATCGGCCGTTGCTTTCGGATCCGGAGCTGGTAAAGGGCCCGGAGACGTTACATCAGTGAGATAACTGTGCCTGCTTATATACTAATCACAGTGCGGTGGTTGTTCACGGTAGAGAACAAAATCACACCCAGAGGGTGAAGGGAAAAATCTAAGCGATGTACATCAGATCTCATAATTCGTTACGAATTCATGCCAACCAGTATTGAAACTTGATCGATATCATCAAAGGCATCTGTCGAAGGCATCTGTCGAAGCAACTTCAAAATTGTTATATCCATCCTCTACCTTGGCCCAATTACATTAATCATTGCCTGTCTAAACAAGCATTCAACCCGAAGACTCCCAAGAGTCGATATAAAACTAACCAACGTTGTCAGTAACTTACAGTAGATAGAAAATACGAAGACAAAGCAGGCACTTACAGCTCCTCTCTTTATACGCCTTGGCCAGCTCACTTCGAACCTCATTCATCGTCGGATACGTATCTTCTTCAGGATGCCATTTCTTGATAGAAATCACATTCTCCAGAAGCTGAATGCCCTTTTCCAGCTTCCCAGCATCCAAATAAGCGCACCCGAGCTCATACTGCGTCTTCAAGCGCAGCGGATGGTTCTGCTCAAGGCATTGCCTTTCCACTGCTAGTAGTTCCTCCAGTGTAGATATCCCCTTCTTTTCGTTGCCGGTTTCAAGGTATGCCAGCCCGAGGTCGTGTTCTGATGCGAGACGTGAAACGTCGTCTGGTTCGAGGCGACTCCTCCGTATGGCGCATGCGGATGTGAGTGCTTCCAAGGCTTCTTTTGCTTTACCTTGCATCAGATAGGCGGATCCTAGTTTTGCTAGAGTCATGGCCAGGGAAATGCTGCGGCCCTGCGTCAAAGTTTCAACTCGGACGACCTCTTTAAGGACTCTGACTGCGTCGTCCAGTCTCCTGAGGGACAAGTAACAGCTTCCGAGCTCATACTGAGATGCTAATCTGTTGGGGTGGCCTTCGTCGAGGCTGCTCCGTATCTCGACGGCTTCTTCCAGAACTGCTGCTGCTTCGGGTACTCGACCGCTCTTTGTGTATGATAAACCAAGCTGATGCAACGCGGCGACTCGGCTGGGCAGAGCCCTTGTTGCGTCAGATATGTCCTGGGGATTGGCTACTTCCTCGAGAATAAGAATGCTATTGTCCACCTGGTCATTCTGCATATATACGCAAGCAAGCTGATAGCGTATTGCAATCCGTGTTGGGTGATCTTCCCGGAGCGTCTCTTCTGCCATCTTAGTAGCGTTCTCAAAGATCTTTGCTGCTTCATCAAGTTGACCTGCTTTTAGATACGCGGCGCCAAGCTGATGCTGCGATGTCAGGTTATAAGGATGGCTTTCACCAACCCTTTGCTTCTCCAAACCATCGACCTCTGTCAATACCTTTACCGCTTCTGTGGTTTGGCCGTTGTCAAGATAGGCGGATCCCAGGAGACGTTGTGATTTCAACTGATCAGGATGATCCGCACTCAATCTCGACGATTGTATCAAAACGATTTCCTCACAAATCTCGATCCCCTTGTCGACCTGACCGTCGCTGAGGTAGGCCCTGGCCAGTTCGTGAAGCGAAGCAAGTCTCTCGGGGTGCTCTTCATGGAAAAGTCGTTCCTTTTCTTTGACCACTTTGTCCAACGCCTTGATTGCCGCTTTGACCTGACCGTCGGCGAGATATGCCCTGCCCAGCTCATGCTGAGAAAAGAGGCGGTTGAGGGGCAGTTGATGGGGATGTGGATTCTGTACCAATTCTTCGAGAATGTGGACTGCCTTTTGGACTTCGCCGTTGTCGAGATGAGCGGTTCCGAGTTTTTGCTGCAAAGCCAACAGGTTTGGGTGGCTCTCGTCGGAGTCTTTCTGGAGGTCGATGGTGTTTCGTAAAAGAGCCATCCCCCTCTCCCATTGACTATCTAATAAGTACAGCGATGCCAGATCGGCTTGTACTTTGATCAAGATTGGATATTCACTGCTTAGAGAAGTATGGCTATCCTCAAGCTTTCCCAGTTTCTCTAGCAGTTCAATGGCATCGGTAATCTGGCCATTCGCGCGATAGGCTGCTGCAAGCTCACAATGGATAGCTATCCGATGAGGGTGATTTTGGCGATATTTCGATAGTTTCAGAGCTGCCTTCAGGGATGCGATGGCCTTTTGAGGCTCGCCGTTCTGTCGATAAGCAGCACCAAGATGATTCTCGATGATTGGGCGCGATGAATGTCCTGATTCCAGTAACCTGTTTTGCGTATTCTTTACGTTTTCCAGAATCTCGATTGCTTCTCTCGATTTTCCATTCTCAATGTGGGCTTTGGCCAGCCCGATCTGAGGGCCGAGTCGATACGGATGACGGTCGGAGAAGTTTGCGGCTTGCATTTCATCGAGCTCCTTGAATATCGCAATTGCTTCATCGATTTGACAGTTGGACAAGTAGCATGTCGCAAGCTTGTACTTTGAGCCGAATAGAACGGGATCGCCCTTCTCTCTGCTAATCCCTTCGATGGACACAACTTCTGTAAGTAGCGGTATGGCTTCTTGTGTTCGCCCGCTTGATTCATAGGCTTCGCCAAGTAGATGTAGCACAGCCAGTCTATCAGGGTCATCTTCGTTTAGATTCATTTGCAGCTCATGGATTTGACGGATATGCTCAAGAGTGACTATCGCTTCTTTCCACTGGCCGTTGACGTTGTAGGCTCGCGCAAGTTCCTGATCCGTCCTGAGACTGTTTGGGTCATGCTCATGAAGAATTGACTGCTGAAGTTTTCGGACTTGTTGGATTGTCTTTATACACTGGTCTATTTCTCCGAGATCAAATTGGTTGCGTGAGAGCACATAAAATAGGGGAAGTAGGTCGCTCCTTGGATTATCCGGACTGGCGTCGAAATATCGTAGCATTTGTTCAAGAAGAGTCGATACTTCAGTGTCACATCTCATACATCGTAGAGATATGCTGATCTGGAGGAGCACTTGAAGTATCTTTGTAGAAGTCTGCTTGTTAATAGCCAAAGAAGGCGCTGCAACCAAAGCCGTAATGTGAGGCCCGAGTCTCTCGATATGGGACTGCCATTTTGATTGGGAGAACTGAGTGAGCGCAATTATACAAGCAGAAGACTGAATACTTGAACTTCGATGAGTTTCATCTTGGCGAATAGCTACCCAGCTATGAATAAGTGGGTGCAATGAGACTGTTGCATCGCTTCCCGCGGTTGATCTCTTGACGAGAGCTAAAGAAACGAGTTCATTGAGGGCCTCATCCAATCGAGCCTCATCCCACTTGTCTTTCTGGGCATCAACCCACGCGGGAAGTTGTGCGACATGCCACTGTGAAAGATTATCGAGTTTTTCGTCGTCTTCTGGGATACTCTGAGCTTTTCTGGCCCCTCGCCATGCATCTTGGAAGAAATCCACGGGAACATCATCATAATGAAGGGTTGAAAGAAGTTCCAAAAGTTGCAAAGCATCATGCGCAGATTGCTTGTCTGAAGACTTTAACGCCTGGACCGAGATTTCGAAAGTCGTCCAAACGTTGCGGTATCTTGACTGTGCCTGAGAAGGGATAAACTTGAGCAGCTTGTCCCCTTGTTCCCGATAATCGGTCAAATACTTTTCCATGGATATGCCCGTTGAAGAGATGTAGGCGCCTGCTTGTAAGATGGCAAGTGTATGGAATCCCATCTCTTCGGCGATGGCTTCTGCAGATGCAGCGGACTCGGCACGCAATGGCTCGGGGACTGACATTGAATTCAGGAGTAGCTCGATACAATGCTCCTTGCTGAGGTTTCCGAGTTCTATGTGTCCGAGTGTCTTATAAACGGCGCATTCTGGAAGCCGAGATGTCATCAACACAGTTCCTCTCTCCCCAGACGGAATGTAGTCTGCATAGTTGATTGAGCTGTCATCGGCATTGTCCAAGATGAGAAGCCAAGGCTCATCCGCAGGCCAATTCGCAAGAAGATAGCGTACGTCTTCAACACCAGCACTCTCCGTTCTAAGAGCATGGGCAATCATGGCAAAACCTCTAGCAGCCGTGGCCGCAGTGGCTACATCCACCCAAAACACGCCCCAGAATCTAAAGACAGGTCAGTAGGTAGAAACGGTAATGAATCAGTGACAGAAACATACTGATTTCGAAGCTTATTCGCAACGTTCAAGCACACTTCGCTTTTGCCCTGACCCCCCATGCCCGTGATGACGAACATTTTGTCCAAAGTTTTAGAGTCAGTGGCCCTGGGATCTATGGCGTCGATGATGGTTTGGACTATTTCATCTCTTCCAGTGAATAAAGCGCTGGGACGCTGTTTCACCGTCCAGTGGACGTTCACAGCTGACATGGAATTAGAACTGGGTCTCCTTTAACAAGCCACTGTAGAATGGTGTATAACCTACGTTCTGGTTCCATTGCTCTTTGTAATTCCAGAGCTCTTTCAAGATCCGAGACAATCATCTCCATCACCGACTCGCAACTCTCTGCCGTTGGAAACTTGCAGATTTTGCTGTGGTTGGCTTTGAGAGCTACCTTTCTCTCTCGGTCTTCTGATAGGCTTAGAACCGCAGACTCTTTTTTGACAATCTGTAGAGAGAAGCAAAGAGAGGGAAATGGTCAGCGCCAAGGTCGTTGAAAGAGGAGAGGCAAGACGAAACGATATAGGTAGACGAACCAGTCCAAACCTGCCGTAATTCTCCGTCTCATAAAAACTAATAACTAAACAGTTGGCAGGCAGATGACGCGCCTGTTCAAACCGTCGTATCACGTCGCGCGAGCCCGCCTTCAACCCATCTAATAAGTCATTGCTAGGCGTACCGAGTCCCGTCCTGACAATCTTGGCGGCAATGTCTCCGATGCCACTGTAATTTCCCCCCAAGTGAGGTGTCGCGAAGAAGACGAGGAGCCTGGTGGCCCTGACGATGGATCCATAAGCTGGATCAAGAGTTCCTTCAACCAGCGCCTTCAACCCCCAGACGTTGTTTGTAAGTATTGCACGAAACCACAGGTATGGAAATCTTGCATCGACCAAAGCCAAACAAAACGCATTGATCAGCCGCGTGTACTTACAGACTTGACAACTATGCCGCCTAGACTATGGCAGAGAAACACGATTGGCCTGAGTGGCGTGTCCTGGAATGCATTAGAGCTTGGACACAGTTTGCCTCCCCGCAGATCTCGGATGTCAGTACCTTTCTTTTGTCTTTCAGACATGTCAACAGCATCCGTGCGTGCTCGTCCAGGCGCATCGCTGCCGCCGCTTTGGCCGGACTGGAATTATACGCAAACAACATGACGCGGCACGGCCTCCCGATCTTCTGGGGGAGAAAGTCTCGGATCCAGACCGATCCTTGGGAGTGCCATGTGGCCCGCGCATGGTTTGGGTTGCCCTTGAAGTTGAGGCCATGAACAGCTACAACACTGGCAGTTGAAACTTTTGTAAGAGGGAGATTCTTCTCAAGAGGGGGCGGCTTCGTTCTCTTACTCAATCTCCGGCTCGAGGGATTGAAGGCCACTACTTGTCTCCGAGTCGCCGTAGATGGTGTGCAATCCAGGCTCATACATTCCGAATAGCGCAGAGATATTTCCACCATGGAATTGTTCCTGGGATGACTTGTATTCGCAGGCAGCGCTCACATTGTCGTCCCAATCCCATCCATCTCAAGAATGCCAACCAACGCCTTGCAAAAGACAAAATCAAGGCAAACTGCCTCCTCAATTCCCAAATGTTTTTCCCATCACGCAAAAGGCCCAACCGCGCAGCTGATCCTTTTGTCTGTTGGTCGCCAAAATGCGCATAGCCGCCCTGCGCTGGGGCTGAGCGGATGATGAACAGGGGTCCATGCAAGATGATTTGATGGAGGCTGCCTTGCGTGGGAGCAGCATCCATAACGTGCATGTGCTCCATACTCGACGAATATATGAGGAATCCCTGTAGTTTTGGAGTAAATGCGAGTACATTCTGTTGGCAAGGCTGGAAACAAGGGCGATACATGAAACAAATGCCTCCTAGACCCCGGGGTATACATACGCAATCCTAGATTGATGCTGTGTTCATCTATCAGCTTTGAATAATATCATCGATTTGATTCCAAACAAATAACAGCATTGTGCATAGAGAAAATTAGAGTGCAGAGATGTTCCAATCTCAGGAACACTCAGCGCTGTGAAGAAACATTAACACTTTAGCAATCACATATCTGCCAAAGATGCACAAGAAAACCTATGGCACAGTCGATCAACGTCACAATATAGGTATAGCACATTATTAAAAAAAAAGATGTGCTCGTAAATACACTATTGGTGTGAACCAGTCGTTCTGGTTCTAGCCCAGCCCCCTTTGATTCTTAGACTCAATACCCTGAGATCCGATCAACTCCATAAAGGAATATTTTAATCCTCTCTGCCTTCCGCCCTTGCGACGTTTATATTTCAGGGGTGCTTGAGGCCTTCTTTTTCGTCCCCCAAGAGTTGGTGCTCGTCGCGGAAGCAAATCAAATCCTCATTGTTGCCATTCGACCCGAAACTGGATGTCAGGGGGTTGATTAAGCCTGAACTTGAGAGTCCCTCAGTGCCTGATTAGCCGTTTGGGCGGCACGACGCAGTCGAGCCTCAAGGTTGGAATCACCCAGCATAGCGCGTCCATTAGAAACAAAGTCATCATAGACGGGAGCCAGGGCTTCAGATCGAAGATCACAGCCATAATAGAACAAGACGCTGCCATTGTGGTGAAAGCTCCCGTCGGACTTCTCAAAGAACCAGGTCAAGTTCTCATCATGCTCATTGACAGTCCAGGCAAGGCTGGGGTGGTCCTTCTTGATGGCGGTGAAAACGTTCTCAGCCACATTGGTCAGCCAGCCGGACTTGGTGATGGCCAAAGTAGCAAGAGTAGCTATCGGTCGGTCATTGCCAGCAGGGACAACAATCGCAATGCACTGCAACGCATCATCATAGTATGCAGTAAAGGGGTTCTCCCTTAAGAGATCGATAAAACGGTCAACAGTTGCCTCAGCGTCAAGGCCCTCTCGATCGCGAATCAGGGCTGCTTTAATCTTATCCGGGTCCTCGAAATCTGACACGGAGGTCGCCCTTTGAATCTTATCTCCTCGTTGGATCAAAGTGCCGGCGCCAGAGTCTGTGAAGAGTTCCTTTTGAAGGTCACTGGGATGGATGATGGCAACGCTGGAGGTCCTGGGAAGGGTGTCGAGAAGTTCCTTGATCTCCTTGATCTTGAGGCGCGTACCGTATCGGCACCAAGGCTGTGACATGAGGTGATCGAACTCCTCGTCCAAGTTAATGTGTGAGATCTTGTCTCCTTCGCCGTTAAACAAGCCACCCTTCTCTGACAGGTACACAACCTTCAAAGGCTCCAGTGCACGGGCAAGCTCGGCCGCAGCAACGTCAGCGTTAACGTTGAGCAGTTGGCCATCTTCAGACTCGGCCATGGACGTAAGAACTGGAATATACCCGGCCTCAATCGATTGCTCGATAGCCTCCTTGTTGACCTTTGTGATCTTTCCAACGTACTGCCACTTCTCCTTGTCCAGATAATCAGCCATGAAGACGCCGCTAATGGACCTAGTGGCAACGCCCAGCTGGTCAAGCCTGTCCACCAGTCTGAGGTTCTCTTCGAGGAAGAGCTTGCGTGCCACGCCCAGAGTCTTCGCGTCGGTTACACGAATGCCTTCTTCAAACCGAGGCTCGACGCCCGCGTCCTCGAGCAAGCGGTTCAGTTGCGGGCCACCACCATGGACTACAATTGGATAGAGCTGGAGACTGCTAAGAAAGCGATACTCTGGCATAGCTCGTCGATGTATTCAGTTCTCAGTTCTCTTCGGTTAGCCCAACATCCGCTCCTTTCAACCTCAAGTCACTTACAGAATAGCACCTCCTACTTTAATAACACCGAATTTCTGTGAAGATACAGATGTGAAGAGCTTGAGATATTGCTGCCTTGACAGGTGAGGTCGAAATTAGTCAAATCTCTCCCGGCACGTGGTATCACGTATCCTCGATGACCTACCCCTCTCGCTTGCTTCCAATGCTGCTCAAGGTCTGAGCAACAATCTCTCGAGTTCGGTCACTCGTAGGAAAAGAAGCCAGAGTCCTTGTCACCGACAGGGCCCTACGACCGGCCAAACTCGGGCCTCGGATGGTGATCGGAGGAGACGCGAGAGCCGCAACCCGGGGAGCAACCCGGGGCGCACCTCGTCGAGCTCCGGCCCTCAAGGCGGCAGAAGTTGCAGAGAGCATGTTTCCCAAGATATCTGGCCCAATTGGCCCGGCGAATTTGCAGAAGCAATAGAGCAATGGTCAACGGATGAGAAACTGAGGATGCGCGAGGGTTAGATCAGATAAAAAGAGTCACCCAGATTAGTCTAGCAAATAATGCCAGCCGCAGTGGGGGAGGGGCAGAAAAAACCCGCCCCGAAACCGCTCACCAAAAGCGGGCAGGCGGTGAGGCGGCCCCAATCACACAGAAATGTTCAGCTGTTGGCAGCACATGAACGTGTTGGTTGCATAGGTGGTTTGACCAGTCCAGCGAGGGAATATGATGCGCTACTGATAAAAGGGCTGCAGAGGATTATCTACTATGTACCTACCTACTTAGGTACTGAACTAACCAACGGTATCATCAGGTGGTACGTCAATATGTGGCGGTATTCACGAAGCACACCGGCTTCAACCCTGCCTCTAGAGTACATGTAATTACTGGTGTTGGAGCCGCATATCATTGCCCTTTAACGAACCTCGATGGAGAACAGTACAAGTCGAGAGTAAAAGGATGAGGTGATGTACAAAGAATGACCAGCTTGACTTGTACATGAGAGCATTGCCATTTGCAAGTGCTAGTCACCGATCTTGGTCCTCAAATCTTCAACGGTATAAACCGCAAAACCCTCGTGAAAACTGTGTCACAGTGCAATAAATCACAGCAAACCATCAGTGAACCAATTTATAATAACGTGACCAGACATCGACTCATTATAATTCCGATAATACCAGAGAGAGCACACATTATCTCCATTGGTCGGAATAAACGCCTGGCCTGCAAATCATACGCATAACCCAGCCTGAGAGAACTCAGAGCATCGTCTCCCGTGAAAATAGTCCGAGGCGTGTCTTAGAAAAAACTCCATCATTTACAGAACCAACATCCAATAACAATTCGTAACCCTTCATTTGATCCCGAGCTCATTTTTTCAAGCTTCGAAGAACGACGTCTGGTGTTCATCATGGACGTTACAAAACAAGGTACTCCAATAAAAGAAAGAGAGGCATCAACGTGTCGCAACAACTAGACTCTCTGGTCAGCGGTGTTTTCCTGGATTTGGGTTGTCGAGGGCGCTCAGAAACATACCAGAGGGAACGATAATAACGACTAGGAGAAGGATGATTCCGACAACAATACAGACTCGCATCTTCATGTCTTTCCACCACATTGCCTTGCGAACTCTGTTGGCGCCACGACGGAAATCTTGAGCCGACTCGGCCAGGTTGTTGGTCTTGTCCTGCAGAGCATCGAGGTTCTGGCCACGCTGCGCGACTTTATTCATGTTATCGTGCATCACCTTGACCGTTTCATCGATTTGCTAAAAGAGAAGAAACCCCCGTTAGTGCCCAGATTTTCAAGCCCATACGTTTCCAGAGTTCCATATCCATAGCCGTGCCGTATGCGGCACGTCTGCCATGAAATCCAAAGAGTTCAAGCTGATGCGCAGCCAAATGGGACGGAGAGACCAAGAGAGCCGCATTTGCGCTGATTCCGTGCTCTTTCCCATCCCATCCTCTGCTATCCGCCATCCACTCAAACGAGGGTCTCTCGCCGGTAAATCCAACTTACTCGCTGCAGGTTGCCCGTCTTGGAGTTGTCCTCCCCGGGGGCACCGTTCTTGGGAACGTAGGGATCATATGGAGCGTCGGCCATTTTGGAAGAGTCGAATATTCAATACAACAACCTCGGACGAGAAAAACGCAGGCGAAGAAGCGATCGGAGCTTTGCAGCGGGTTCGAGCGACAACGATGGAGGTGGTTTGCTGCTGGAGCGGCTTGGAGAGGCGGCGGTTCGTAATGGCGGGCAGGGAATTTGAGGAAGACAAGTTTACGTTTTGTCCGCAGAATAGCCCCTTCGCCTGGGTACTAGGGAGCATACCTGCTGGAGGCGTTGCCCCCCGGCTGACGACAGCGCGGAGTCTGCGGAACCAAGAGCCCCCAGCCTCACGGCGGTTACAGGTAGATGGCAGGTACTACACAGGTACCGCCCGTCCAGCGTCTGGCGCATTACGGAGGCGGAGTGCTGTGATATGCCTACACGGGTAAAAATATCCCCTCCGTTGATTACTTGGGTGGGCAATAGGCGTAAGCCAATATCTTTGTACGAATCTATACGCATCACATCTCTAAGCCTTGGTTCTACTACGCACATTCCGTCATTTTCCCAGTGATTTGTAATTCCCCTGGGAAGCCCGGAGAAGCCACCGGCGTCGCCATCCTGAGACTCCGGGACAGGTTCAGACGAGAGGTACGGAACAGTACGTGGTGGTCGCCCGTACCGCTACTTTGCCCCGCCACACTGCCTCGCCCAGAGAATGTGGCTCCTCGCAACTTTCTCACTGGCACACGTGATTCTACCGCCTCGGTCAGAAACCGGTTCAACGGCCTAGCGGCGTCATCGAGGGATGCTGAGCCAAGAGCAGACGATGGATGGGAGTCGGAAGAAGAAGTGAACGGATTCTGCAACACGTTGAAGAGCTTGGGCCGTATAGAGGATGACCTGCAGATGCTGTCGATTGCAGCGGTAGTTACTACAAACCCGAAGCCGCAGGACGTGTGCACAGACCGTGACACAGTTGGCTCGGAGCCGAACCACGACCACTGTCGCAGGCTGGTTTCATCGCAAGTAAACGAAAGCGCGACGTGATGCATTCCTGTTGGAGAGAGCGCGGCCAGTCTGGCAATCTCTCTCTTACTCCATACATTATTCTAGGCCTATTGTGCGTGCACCTAAATAAAGCGGCAGTGAAAAGCCATCCAAAGTATTGAGCAGAATAGCGGCAGTATTTGGTCCTTGTGCGGAGTCAATGGCGGACGGCGGGCCGGGTTAAGAGACGCAAACAGCTCCGGACGCACCCAATCCGGACAGTGTAGTTCAAACTCTGTACAGTGTTTTACGAAGCCACGTCCATCTAACGTACAGTAACTACTAAAGTGTAGGTACGAGAGACTGTGGATCAGCTTATCAGAGAGCGAGGTGCCAACATCATGTACCGTAGCGATATTTCGTTGCTCGAGTACGATATCTTCCATCTTTGAGTGTCGGTTAAAGGCCGCTTGAATTCCACGGGAGCTCTACGGGGTACGAGTACCGGAGGGGCGTAATCGCTCGCAGCTAAACTTTGAAGGTTTTTGGTGGACTCGGCCAGATGCTTGAATCGTGACTAAAGACACTGTATTTATAGGCATAAATGCCTTGGATATCCACAGGGCTGGGTCAAGGCCCCCCCTTGTTGCCTCCCATTTACACTCTGTGCTCCCGTCGTGTAGGTATTAAAAACGGTGAGTGACGACGACACGACAAATAAACCTCAGATCCTGGGTCGTACGGCAGGTTGAATGTATGTACGAAGTAGCATTGCTTCGACCCCATAACGACATCGTATTCCATTAGCCTCCACCCTCCCCGGTCCAGCTACAGCTCTTTTTTTTTTTTTTTTGCATGCCAAGAAGGAAGACGGCTGCTGACCTGTGTTGTTGGGAAAAGGCCCGACGCCAACGTGACCAGCGAAAGGAGGGGAATTCACGGACAATACACTTCGTTTCAGTTCGTACAGTACAATACATACATTTTTACCTCGAGATGGCGGTTGTTTTGGAGTTTTAGCAGTCGGGCTGCTTATCCGTGCAGATCACATATGCACATGTCATGTCGAGCCAGACATTGACGCCATGACGCTGGGTCGCCCTATCGAGAATCGATGGTGGTACCGATAAGCGATCGCCCGCTGCCCATCTCATGTAGTATGACGGCCGCGAACAAGGAGACATGAGACATGAGACATGAGGAAACAGAACACGGGCGATGCTTGTGCTCCGTCTAAATCCCCAGTCCAGTCCCTCGCTCCTCTTTTTTTCTCTCTCTACTAGGCTGGATTGGATTGGTGCTTTTTTCCCTCTCTTTTTTTTCTTCCCTCCCACCAACAAGCAGCTTACGAATGCGTGCTCATTGGTGTGGCTGCCATGCCGGGCTGAAGTGAATCACCACAACGGCCCAACCACCGCCGCCCAGGGACCAGCCACGATTATACGAGCGCTGTAACGGGACGTTGGCTGGGTTATACTGTAATCGTCCGGGCAATAATCGTTCTATTCTTCTAGCAGGGCCGTCAGCACCTACACAAACGAAAGAAACTTCCAGCGGCCCTTGGCGATGCTTCCCGTTCGGGCCACTTCCGCATCGAGCCAACCTCCAAAGCAGCGTCTTCTCGTCTCTCGTCTCTCTGCTGCGGCCAGAACAAGAACAGCGATAACATAGCAGTGGCCTTGTACATGTAGACGCCACGCTCTGCTCGTATGTACATCTTCCCCAGCACACACTCGTCGCTGGATCCGAGTACTCGTACATACAAAAAGTCCGAATCTCTCAGCGGGGGCCCCAATGTCATTCATTGCTCCAGGCGCTGGCCCGCTTGCAGCTCTCGTATTTGGGACCCCTGGCCACCATGCCAGGTTCCCGTTCTGGCTCAGCACCGAGCTAGGGCCATTCGCTTTGTGATAGTTCGATGCAGCAAAGTGGTGCAACCAAGGTTTTCCGTGGCGCTCTCCAGCTCCAGCTCGACAGACTCAATCGCTCGCTCCATACGCCCTCCCTCGAGGTAGCTCCCAGGTACCTGCTCACAGAGTCTGCCGCGGGCGTGTACCTTTGGAGTACTGCGCGCCATCGCCTGTGTGTACAACATGTGCGTTGTTTGCCCCAAACCTCGTACAGCCCAAAGTACGTCAGGCAAGCGTCAATTGCGCTGCTCGAGCGATGCAAGCGCTTCCGGAGCCGAATGTCAGTTCCCCAGCCAGATCGCTTCTGGGGCACTTGAGAACAAAGAGTACATGCAGTAGCTCGTAGCTCGTATATCCACCGCTCACCTCGTCTTTCCCTTCTCCACAGCTGTGCCGCCTGTCTCTTCCAGTCTTCCTTTTTTTTTTTTCCCTTCTTCCCTTTATATCCCATCCCTTGTCCCTCGCTCAAGGTCGCTCGCTTGCCGTGTCCGTGTGTTGTGTTGTGCCGTCGCCAATCTCTGTTCGCTACTTGGTGCCCAAAGCTCTTGAGGCGACGTAAAGATAGATGGATCTGGAGCTATAGCTATAGCGGGTTGCCTTTCCACCTTGGCCACGATACTGCCTCGATCGACGGACCACTTGCTCGCCATCACCGACCCATGGGATCATCTTTTGGTATCAGATTTTGAGCTGTCCTCTCTGGAATATCCTTGGCCGTCATAAATCATGTCGCCGCTGCTTGGTCGTCTGGCCGTTGGGCTGTTGCTCGCGGCCGGCCAGCTCACCACAGCCTATGACTTAGACCCAGATTCGCCCGGTATGAGAATGCTGATCCTACCATTTGTGGAATTGATGCAGCCACTAACTTGGGACTTGTAGATTCTGTCATGTCGGTGTCAAAAGACATGGCCGCGGATTTGGTGTCATACTACAACGGCAATCAGCCGGGCAATACCCCTGGGCTTCTTCCCGATCCATACTTTTGTATGTATCTCGTCCTTTCTGCGCGGTGCTGTAAGCACATTTCTCTTGGCTCGTCACTGATGCGTGCTCTCAGGGTGGGAGGCTGGTGCCATGATGGGGACGCTTATCGACTACTGGTATTATACCGGCGACGATACGTACAACAACCTCACCTCACAAGCGCTCCTCTTTCAAGTCGGCGAGACCAACGACTATATGCCGAGAAACCAGACTCGAACCGAGGGAAATGACGACCAAGGCTTTTGGGGCCTCTCCGTCATGTCGGCTGCCGAATACAAGTTTCCGGATCCGCCCGCTGATCAACCGCAATGGCTGGCGCTCGCTCAAGCTGTCTTCAACACACAAGCCGCTCGATGGGACACGGAGCACTGTGCGGGCGGCCTGCGTTGGCAAATCTTTACGTGGAACAATGGCTATGACTACAAGGTAGGTTGAGATTGAGATTGCTCTCTGCGGAGACATGTGCCAATCGCATCATACCATGAGACTGACGGTGTATAGAACTCAATCTCACAGGCATGCTTCTTCGCTCTCGGTGCGAGGTTAGCTCTGTATACTGGCAACCAGAGCTACGCTGACTGGGCTGACAAGACGTGGGATTGGATGATTGCCACAAAGCTCATCAACACCAAGAACTGGGCCGTCTACGACGGCGCCGGCATTGAAAGCAACTGCACCGTTCTTGTCCCTTATCAGTTCTCTTACAACGTCGGCGGCATGATTCTCGGTGCCGCCGCCATGTACAACTTGACGGAGTCGCAGACGTGGAAAACCCGCTTGGACAATCTCCTTGAAGGTAGCAAGGTGTTCTTCACAGGGCCCAACAACAACATCATGTCCGAGGTCGCTTGTGAATCGGTCGATACTTGCAACCTTGATGAGCAGTCGTTCAAGGCTTACCTGACGCGCTGGCTAACAATGATGACCAAATGGGCGCCTCATACGTATAATGTCATCCATCCATACCTACGGGCGTCTTCGGTCGCCGCAGCGAAGCAATGCAAGGGCGGCGCGAATAAGCGCATGTGTGGCCTCATCTGGTACGATGGCAAATACGACAATACGACTGGAGTCGGACAGCAGATGGCAGCCCTCGAGATCACAATGTCCAACTTGATTCTGAATAGCAGCTCTCCGGTGACTGCAGACACTGGAGGCACAAGTGTAGGAGATCCCGGTGGCGGCGGTGATGACATTGGTCGAAACCAGCCAAAGGGGCCAGACTATAAACCCATTACCGGCGCCGATAAGTTTGGTGCCGCTGTCCTAACACTGCTGGCTATTGCTACCGTGGTTGCGGCCATGGGTTTCATCTTCCTCGACGAGACATCGCCTAAAGGGCCTGTGGCTCAATCCAAAGGATTCTTTTCTTCTGCCTCTGCGGCCATTTCCACTCTTGCTGCGGGTGGAGGAATGGCTGCAGCCGCCGCCGCCGGTAGAAGGAGAAGGGACAAGGAAAAGGGAATCAGGATCAACGAAAAGTCAATCCTCAACAACGGCGAATCAGAGAGCAGCTCAAAGAATCCGTTCACTGAACCGGTGTTGGTGACCCCCGACTCGATCCGGTACAGTGGAGTGAGCCAACGGCGGCTATCAAACATGCCCATAGGTTGGCCACATAATCCGTCCGTCAGGAATAGCGTTATTGTGGCCGAGTCGTCCGCGGGGGCGTCTGCTGAAGACCAGCGGCAGCGATAGGTGACTACAAAGTTGAGCTGTTGGCAGTTTGGATTGCTGATTCTCTTCAAACTGGGCGCAGCCGGACGGCGTTTTCTTCTTCTTTCTGGGTTACATACACCTTGGCCCGGGAACTAACTCTCTCTCTTTAATCTTTTCAGCGGTGAATTTGGGTGTTTAAAGGGATATTATCTGGGAACAATGGCGAAACTGGTTTGGTTTTTGGTTAACATGTCGGATGAATATATTATGAACCCGTGTTCAATGACATACACTACAAGGTATTTGAGCTCGACGACGATGTGACGTACATATAGGAGGAAGGGCTGAGGAGGGTTCAGAGTACACGAACAATTTCACAGGAGTCTTGTGAGAAATTAGTGTTAATGGCGAGACAATGCTGGCGGGTGTCAAAATCTCATCAGCTTACAGAGTGACGTATGTAGACAGCTGTACTTTTGTATGGTTGAGCATCCTCGAGTTTGCCAAGCGGGTATAGAAGAGGAGGGAAAAGGCAAACGACTGGGTTACAGATTTGAATGATACATACAAAAGGGCAGTGATGAAGCTGCCTCTTTATGATGCCATTCATGATTCTTTATCGTACTGTCTCAACTCACTTGTTCATTGTGCGGCCCCTGTTTTGTGACTCTTGCTTGGTTGTGAGTGAATGTGATGGATAATGAGTGGCGTCAATGCCAAAGGTAAATTTCCCCGCGCGCAACCTCCGACATTGCAAGTACTTACGAGTTGCTATGGAAGAGTTTGTAGCCTTTAGAGAAGCTGTCAAATTGGATCATGTCAAATTAAAAAAGATTTAAACAAGTCCTCAAAGTTGATGCTCTACAGGGCAAATCACAAATAGGTACGTGTAACCGCCTGTGAGGTAATAGGGTAGGACTCGACAAATACCATGCGCAAGTACCAGGGAGCAGTACCCTGCAGACTGTTCCCAATTTGGCTTGACACCTGAGTGGGCCGGTGGATATTTCGGCCGATCTGGGAACCTCGTGTCTGATTAACATCTTGAATTGCGTTTCTTCAAAGAGCATTTCCCGCCACCCTCAGGGGTTCTCCGAGGCCGCAACAACATGTCGGCCAATCTCCTCGACACAAGCACCGCAAAGGGGGATCGCGACAACTCGTCGCTGCTGTCCCCGATCGCATACGACGATGACGCGTCATCCATCAACAGCCGAGACCAAGACACGGACAGCGAGGACGATGCGCTGCAGCAGCGCGCCAGGAACAGCCGCGAGCTGCTGGCCCACGACCGCATCGTCTTGATGGAGGAGGAGGAGCTGGACCAGCTGGTGACGGACTCGAGGCGCAAGCAGGAGCTGGTGCGCCGCGGGTCGGCTCTGGCGCTGCCGCTGCCGAATCCCTTTAGGAGCCTGGGGCGGAAGTCGAGTCTGGGGAGCATGTCGACGGCGGGCAGCTCGAACGAGAACATTGTGTCGGAAAAGAGGCTGGCGGAGAAGCAGAAGCAGAAGAGGCGGGATAGGAGGGAGACCAAGAGGAAGAGGATCATGGAGGAGGCTCAGCACGGCGAAGATGGCCAACTCATGTATGAGATGGAGGAGGGCGGCATGAAGGAGGGCAGCTCCACCGGCGACAGCAGCGAGAGCGACGAGTACGACCGCCGCAACCTTAATGCGTTTGCTCAGGCAAAGTCGCAGCGTGGACGGAGCTGGCGCCGCTGGCTATTTATACACTCGCTCATCGCCATCGGGTTCGCTATCCTGGTTCTGGCCGCGTGGAAGCTGTCAAAGGGTCGCAAGTCCAATCTCAAGATGCACCTCGCCAGCAACGGCACCGCCTTGTTCGCGCCGACCACAATCATCATCAGCCTCGACGGCTTCCGCGCCGACTTCTTGCAGCGGGGACTGACGCCACGGCTCAACGCCTTTGTGAAGGAGGGCGTCTCCCCCAAGTGGATGCACCCATCGTTCCCCTCCGTCACCTTCCCCAACCACTATACGCTCGCCACCGGTCTGTACCCCGAGGCCCATGGTATCGTGGGCAACACATTCTGGGATCCCGAGTTGAAGGCCGAGTTCCATTATACCGATCCTGCTCGGAGCTTGGACCCCAAGTGGTGGGGTGGCGAGCCGTTTTGGGTGACGGCTGAGAAGCAGGGCATTCGCAGTGCGATTCACATGTGGCCTGGCAGCGAAGCGCACGTTCTGCACCTGGAGCCTACCTTTGTCGACAAGTATAATGGCAAGGAGAGTCTGGACAAGAAGGTTTCGCGGATTCTTGGTTGGCTGGACCTGCCCGGAAGAGAGAGCGGATCTGTCGAGGCTGAAGGCTTGCGACCACAGCTGATTGCCGCGTATGTCCCCAACGTCGATAGCGATGGTCACAAATATGGGCCAAACAGCACGGAGATTCGATCTACTATTGAAAGGGTGGATACCATGATGGACCAGCTCTTCAAGGGGCTCAATGCACGCAACCTGACACATATCGTCAATGTCATTGTTGTTTCTGATCATGGAATGGCTACGACGGATACGACTCGACTGATGCAGCTGGAGGACCTCGTCGACACTTCCAAGATTGAGCACATTGACGGATGGCCTCTATATGGGCTTCGACCCAAGAACCTCGATGACCTGCAAGGTCTGTACAACGGCCTGGCAGAAAAGGCCAAGTCAAACCCCAACTTTGAAGTCTACCTCCGTGATGTGAACATGCCGGAGCGTTATCACTTTTCTCAAAACGACCGTATCGCTCCTCTCTGGATTGTCCCCAAGACAGGCTGGGCCATTGTCACTAAGGAGGAATTCGACGTCGAGAAGGCGAAGAAGGAGGGGCTCGTGTATCATCCTCGCGGCTTGCACGGATATGATCACGAGCACCCTCTTATGAGAGCTATTTTCATCGCTAGAGGTCCTGCGTTTCCCCACCCGGCGAATAGCCAACTTGATGTATTCCGTAAGTGATGCGTATATTTGAGTGATCATCTTAACACCGACTAATGCTTGATTGTCAGAGAATATTGAGGTTTACAACTTGTTGTGCGACTCGTTGGGGCTGAAGCCTAAGCCTAATAACGGGACTTTGCGGCTGCCCCTGAAACCGATTGGTACTCACAAGGCCGAAGATGAGCCTGAAGTGCCCGTTGACCCCGTCACGTCGTATTCTGTTGCTTCGACTTCGACTTCGACTTCGACCTCGACTTCCTCGCAGGTTGTAAAGACCCAGACTCTTCAACGTCCTTCAGTGCCCCCGGAGCCAACCACTTCTTCTTCTTCTTTATCTTCTGTATCGTTATTATCCTCTGCATCTCTATCATCGACTACCTCGACATCTGTAACGTCTCACACTACTACAAGCAAGGCAGTAGCAACTCCTACGGAGAAGCCTAAAGACGACAACAAGGGAAACGAAGATGACGAAGACGATGAGGGCTCTGGTGGGCTAAAGGGCATATGGAACTGGTTGTCGAACGAAATAGACAAAGTCTGGCACAAAATTACCAACGGATCAAGCTGATTTTACATCTCATTCTACTTATCTACCACGGCACAGCGTTTGAGTTATTGGAAGAGGCATATTGTTGATAGAGGCGTTTTGGGTTGATTTATTTAGATATATGGATATACTTGGATTACATGGGGTTTCTTAATTTTTATTTGCGGTATTTTTGACCTTTTTGCGATCTGGTATCGCTTGAAGACCAATTCGTGGCTGAAGACATATGGTGGTCTCTTTTTAATATATACTCTGCCTAAGATGGCGGCTAGAGAGTAATGCACTCTGTTTTTATATATTTAATGAGATATTTTTGGTAATATTCATCTGTGTAAAGGTTAAAAAATGAACCTTTGAGGCTTGAACTGATCCTCACTTCGTAACACCGAAATACTAAAGTTGCGTGTACTCAACCCCTCAATAAGATGTCCTCTACGCCGTCCTAATACCGAGTCAAGCAAACAAAAATTCAAGGCAAGGATGTCATTCAAGTTCAAGTGGCGGCTGAACCCCACATTTCCGTTTGTGGAAACGTCCAACTGGAACTGCCGCCTAGAAATTTTAAGCCAGCGAGACCGTTAATAATTCAACGGCTTTTTGATAGAGTCGTACGCGACGCGACTTTTGTAATCTAATCTATACTTTCACAATACATCATCCATCTCATCACTTCTTTTACATCAAACTTACAACAGCATATCGTTGTATATTCTCTACTTTACTCTTTTTCTTCTTCTTCTTTATATACAATTCTGTCCTCCTGACTCTCCCGCTTGACCATCCCCTTCTAAGCCGGAATTTGACTTGACTGTCTCTACCGAGTAATAATTGGTGTAACATCGTCCGTGTGAGGCGGCCATACACAACCATTGGGCCGGATCAAGTCGAAAAAAAAAAATCGCTCTCTGCCTAAATCTGGCCCGGTTACCTGAGAGAGGCAGCAGAGACAAAGCTTGGCTCCTTTTGCACAGCCCCGGGTGCCTTGTAAAGTGTTTTCGGTGTCGTCTTCTGCCAATAGAACAAGGACAGCGCATAGAAGAGCACCCACACCCTCCAAAATCCCAAATGAATCGCCAGGCACTCGAGGAGGAGCTGACGGTTCAGGAGGTGATTCTCGACTCGCTGCAGGACGAGGCCGGGGAGGATGCCGAGGTGCAGCGGGACGAGGCGAGGAGGGAGATTGTGAGGCTCAAGCGGATGCTGAGGACGCTACAGTCCAAGACTGCTGCCGGTGGTGATGCCGGCGAGGGTACGAGTACGAGAGCCCTCCACTGCCATTGATGACGCCGTTTGTGCAAGATGCTGATTCGATGCCATTTTTTCTTCTTCTCTGATAGTAGGTGGTCCTGGAGCCGCACATGCACATGTACATGCACATGCCCAAAGCCAAAGCCAAAGCCAAAGCCAAAGCCAAAGCCAGGCCTCACAGGCTCCAGCGTCGTCGCCGCAAAGTGAGTACGTGCGCTTTTTCGTCGTTGAATTTGGATGGGCCAAGTTTTCGACTGCTTTGTCCTTATCTGCTTGGTTTGGGGATTATCGGGCTCCTTCTTCTTCCTCACTTTTTTCACTCTTCACTTTCATCCCAACTTCATCCTCACTTTCTCCTTGCATCATTCGGGCAAGCCATGCGGCTCCAAGAAAAAGCCTAAAGAAAAAGAGCATCGAATTCACGGTGCCATCGCCTCCCCCTTCACCTTTTGTCAGCTGCTTCGTGCACATTTTTCTTCTTCTCTCCCTTGCATCTTTTCACTTTTCGCCTCCCACTGCATTCACGCCACCTCACTAGCTTGATTCCATCAACAAGTGGCATCTCGCCCCCTTTATCCCACAGTCTCCGTTATTCTGTACCGGCTAGGTCTCAGTCACTCGGGAGCTGCCTGTTTCATCAGGCCCTCCTTGGCTCCTGTTGCCAACTCTCTGTGTGACGTATAAGGTGCCCGCTTGTGCGCTTCTCCTTGGATGCCTTGGGCGCTTCTCGAGGCGTCATTTCCCCTTCAGGCTCACCATCAGCTCCCGTCTGGGAGTAGTTGAACTATTTAACGCTGACCTGTTTCGCGTCAGGAAATTCAGACCACAGCCGAACAGCGACGCCGGCCCCTGTTGGAGCCTCGAGATCGCATCGTTCCTCAGCCGTCATGGATACTCCGAGACAGGCTCCGCAGGTTGCCGAGAATGGAGAGAGCCCCTCGCTGGTAATGCTGAATCGAAAGCGGAATTATGACGCGGCTCATCTGAGTGTTGGACGTGAGTCGAGTAAGTCTCGAAGGACTACGCCATCGCCGTTTGGTGGCTATTCAAGGGCATATGACCCTCCTTCATCAGACGGCGAAGTCGAGATTATCGATCTGACTGGGTATGTACCACCTAACTACCTATATAAATGCATTTCTATCCGTACTTGATTGCTACTGCTTCTCTGTAGCCTGGCACTGACGTAAAAGACAGGGCTGATGTCGATGCCGACTCGACGCGGATCGCAGAGCAATATAGGCAAGCAGAGCGTCACCGGCAAGAAAAGCAAGATAGGGAGATGGCCTTGCGTCTCTCAAGCCAGGACTCGCAGTCTTCGGCCCGGGGCGCTTCTGGACCTTCTCGAAGCTCGGGCTCCCACCAGCCCTCTGCCTTTTCCAGGCTTATGGCGACGCAACGCTCTAATGCCCCTGAAGCTCCTATAGAAATCGCTTCCGATGACGAGCTTGAGGTCATCACCCCTGGTGGCGGGCCTCATGACGGAGCAGTATCCTGGGGTTCGCTCTTGGCCGCACCTATGGCGAACCCGTCTTTTGGGCATAACCAGTTTTCAGGTCTTTTAGACCCGCAACAACTCCAGGGGCGCAGCAACCCCCCTACTCCCCTTGGTAATGGCTTTGAGCTCCCGTCTTTCAGAGCTGTGAGCCAGTCCTTCCCAGGCACACCTTTTGCTGGAAACAATCAGATGCCGTATGTACAAATGCCTGGAGCATATCCCGGACCTCCTCTGAGGCCTAACCTGCCTATGGGCCCGGTTCTTGCGAGCCAGAGTCGAACGCCATTGTCAGACATCATCAACAGAACTAGCATGTTCGACTATGCCAACGGTCTCGATAACAATGGCGACCCTCTTTCTGGCCAGCTAATGGATTATCTCAACGACACTTTCCATGATCCTAGAGTAACGGAACAGGAGTTGGATGATTTGTTGCAAAATATCCGTCCCGACATGGAGATTCCAGAGGGCAAGCGAGATGGAACCCCGGAAGGGCTTAAGCATGCTCTTTACCCTCACCAAACGCTGGCCCTGACATGGATGAAGCAGATGGAGACGGGTACCAACAAAGGTGGTATTCTGGCCGACGATATGGGTCTTGGAAAGACTATATCGACGTTGGCTCTCATGCTATCACGTCCGGCCCAATCTCGCCCTAAAGTAAGTCTCAACTAACATACCGTGTAGCCTCCATTTGCGTTACTGGAGCTAACCATGGCCTTAGACAAACTTAATCATTGGCCCGCTGGCCTTGATTCGACAGTGGGAAGAGGAGATTTATAAGAAAACAAAACCCTCCCATCGATTGTCTGTGTTTGTATACCACAACAAAAAGGCCACGGCCGACGATCTACTCAAGTATGATGTCGTCCTGACTACTTATGGCACGATAGCCCAGGAGCTGAAACGCCTTGATAAGTTTATGGAGGACAATGCAGACCGCAACATCGATTTCAATGATAGAGCCAACGCAGCAAAATTTCCGCTTCTTAACCCGAGGAAGTCTAAATTCCACCGGGTTATCCTCGATGAGGCGCAGTGCATCAAAAACCACACTACCAAGACCGCCAAAGCCTGCCACAAGCTGAATGCCACCCATAGATGGTGCCTCACCGGAACTCCCATGATGAACGGAGTCCTTGAACTTTACTCCTTACTCTGTTTCCTTCGGATAAAGCCGTATTCTATCTGGGACCAATTTCGCAAGGTAAGACTGCCCCGACTACCACCTCTCCATTCATCAACCCCCTTTATCCTTTCTTGAAATTCTTGGATGTAACTAAATCGAATCGGTTTGCAGAGTTTTGGTGTGCTCTTTGGCCGAAACGGCGATCCGAGAAGTGTCGCCATGAGTAGGCTCCGCGCTCTCCTCAAAGCAGTCATGCTTCGTCGCAAAAAGGATTCCAAGTTAGATGGTAAGCCGATATTAAGGCTGCCTAAGAAGATGGAAGAAGTTGTGTATGCCGAGCTATCCGGAGATGAGCGCGACTTTTACAACCAGTTGGAAAAGAAGTCCCAAGTGCAATTCAGCAAATATCTTCGCGAGGGCAGTGTAGGGAAAAACTACTCCAGCATCCTAGTTCTTCTGCTTCGACTCCGCCAAGCATGCTGCCACCCTCACCTCAACCTGGATGTGGATGACGTTGCGCCAATCTCTAGTGAAGAGATGCTTGAGCTGGTCAAGAAACTGGATGCGTCCATCGTGGCGAGGATAAAGGAGGCTGACGCCTTTGAGTGCCCTATATGCTACGACGCCGTCCAATCGCCAACATTCTACACGCCTTGCGGGCATGATAGTTGTAAGCAGTGTCTTTCTCAGTTGGTGGATAGTGCAGCGACTATGAATCTTCAGCAAGGAAATGATACCAATACGGTGACGGCTAAATGCCCTGTGTGCCGTGGCCGTTTCGATCCTAGGCAGTGCTTCACCTATGAGGCCTTTCAGCAGGTGCATATGCCGGAATCTATCAAGCCATCTACCTCTGAAGGAGAAGAGGGCGACAGCTCTACCGAAGACGAAGACGACTTTGATGAAGATGACGAAGATGACGAAGTGGATCGCTATGGTGATTTGAAAGACTTTATCGTGCGAGACGAGGTTGAGAGTGGTTCGGAAGCGGGACAGCAAGGCCATATCAAAAAGGAAAAGAAGCAAAAGAAGAAGAGAAAGGACAAGAAGGCCGAAATCAGGCCTTCTATGCTGAAGACTCTTCGAAAAGAAGCGTCCAAGAATAAAGCCGCTTTCAAAAAGTACATGAGCTATCTGCGGAAAACTTGGCTGCCTGCCGCCAAGGTGTCGGAGTGTATGAATCTACTAAAGGAAATTCATGCGACTGGCGAAAAGACGATTGTGTTTTCTCAGTGGACTCTCCTGCTGGATCTGCTGGAGGTTGCTGCGTGGCACGACGATTATCCGGGCAAGCTGAGGCGATACGACGGAAGCATGTCCGCTGAGCAGCGATTTGTCGCGGCAAGAGACTTTCGTGATAAGAGCGACGTCAAAGTCATGCTGGTGTCGCTGCGAGCGGGAAATGCTGGGCTCAACCTTACTGCGGCTTCTCGCGTCGTCATTATGGATCCCTTTTGGAATCCGTACATTGAAATGCAAGCCGTTGATCGTGCGTACCGTATCGGTCAAATGAGAGAGGTCAAGGTGTATCGGATTCTGACTAAGGAAACCGTGGAAGACAGAATTGTCCAGCTTCAGGAGCGGAAGAAGGAAATGGTGGAGGCGGCGCTGGATGAAGCTGAGAGCTCAAAGATTGGACGGCTGGGCGTGAACGAACTCAAGTTCCTTTTCAGTGGCCGCTAATGCGCGAGCAATATCATTTTGAGATGGATAGGATCTCTGTCTCTGTCTCATTTTCTTTGCTATTGTGTTTACGAGGTTTTACGTGGATCCGCGAGTGGTCGTTTTGGAGGCGGATGCCGATTTGCTTTGTTTTCTTTTTTGATAGATTGGGTTTGATGAGGATTGGTGAAATGGCTCTTTGCTGCTGACAGCGGGATTGCGAGCAACCAACCGAGGGCGGATTTTGTTATGAAAGCGAGACGAAACGGCCTTGTACCAAGGGATGGCATAAGACGAAACGACGATGTGTGAAGTAATGAAATGAGAGAAAACAATCATGTGCTTAATATAGACCAAACAAATCGAGCTTTTTTCTTTCTTTCTGGACTCTGTAGTGCATGCACGATTACGAGTGAGAAAAACATCCCAACGAAGCAATATATTCTTGCAACTACCAGAGACTCCCAGTCCAGTCACTAAACGAAATTCCGTAACCCCTGTATATATTTTTGCCGTATTGCCTGAAACAAAAAAGACCCAGGCCCCAATTGCTAGTCACACATCGAAACTTGAGGTAGGAGAGTCATCTTTCCAAAGTTCCTCTGCTTCCGCCGTCTCGTCATATTGTAGATCCCCCCCTTCTTGAACTTGTTCTTCTTCTGTCTGTGACCGTCGTGAGCCAATCATCAACTCGGGCTAGAGCACTCGTACAGGTATAGCCATTGCCCTCGGCGAGCTGCTCATCCTTCTAAGCGAGCTCTTGCTCCTTGGCGACCAACTCGATGACGTCCTTGGCCGAACGCGTTTCACTAGATCTGCCGACGGACCACTTCCACGTGTTGGAGGTTCCGTTTGGCGAGGGGCTGCTGAGTGATAGGGCTAGTTCGTCGTTGTCTTCGTGTTCCATGGAAAAGTGGATGTCGATGTTGGATTTGTCGACGGGATCCCGATTGGATGCAGTTTCTGCAACGGTGGCGGTTGATTCGTCGTGCGATAATGCTCCGGAAGCGTGCAGAGTGACGAAGTGGTTGGTGAGGACGCGGACGACGACGGTGCGGAGGTAGTCGCCTAGGGTTCGGACGCTGGGATAGCCTTCCGCCCAAGGGGGACACAAGGTCGGGAGAGGCGACGAGGGCGGGAGGAGGATGTAGTAGTACGTCGCCGTGACGGGGAAGCTAAACGCACGGGCTCGAATGATGAAGGATATCTCGGGCAGGATGGTGAGTTCGAGGGTAAAGTCTTGCGTCTGCAGAAGATTGCGGACCAGAGTCTGTGATGCGGAGAGCTGGTTCGGCCCACGGGAATTGGGGTCGGAGGCGCTGGCTTGAGTTGTGCGTAGGATGACTGATGATGGGAGGCCGGCCTTTTGAAGAGTCTTCACTAGAGAGCCGACGTATTGCATGGATTCCTCAATGTTCTTGAGGTACATTGTGCGTGCGAGGACGGGGCGAAGGAGGGCGTAGGATTGCTGGCGAGAGGTGCGAGAGATGTGAGGCGGAACAGGCCGAATCCTCATGAGCTCGTTATACCGATGAGCATAGCTGAGGAGAACGTGCAACGCCATGGACGTCTTTTCTGCCAGGCCATTCTCCGGAAGGTTCTCGTCATGGGAGGGGCATGATTCCAAGGGTAGTAGCTCAAAGGTGATTTTCGTTGTGTCGTCTGCCTGGCAAACCAATTTCTTTCCTTCAGGCCTGACATCGTAGGCGGCTAGCGACCGCGACTCTTTGGTCAATTCGTGCCAGAGTTCTTGTGAGAAGATGGTGTTGCGTGCTTCTAGAACTCGTGATTCCAACGAGCCATCTTCTGAGGCTGGTCGAGTGGTGGATCTCCCAAGCACCTTGCCATCTCTTTCGTACGTCACGACAAGAGCTTCTGATACGCCGCCTAATCGACCAAAATCAAGGTCTGTCGACCCATTGTCACCACGTCTCATAGGCGCTAGGCCGTTATTCTTGAATTCGGGAGCGGCTAGGAACGCGGGTTAGTTGCTACACAGCGAAGTGTGTTCATTGGGATTGTGCAAGGCGCGACATACCCTCTGAAAAGCCAAATCTCACACCCAAAGTGTGCCTCTCCTGCGGGACTTTGCATACAGACCAGCCAGCTTTCCTGACTGAAATGATGTCTTCCCAGTATTTGCTCTCTGCACTGATCTCCTTTCCCAAGAACGCAGCAGCCTCTTGTGCGGAGTCCCTCGTCTTGTTGATTTCCATAATGGTCCAGCCCATAGCAACCGCCTCCTGATCTTTTGTCTTGGCCGGTGTGGAATTGGAGTCATTGAGTCTGTCCGCGCCGAGAGTACCAATGCCGACCATGTCGCGTAGCTGCTGAGATAGGGTCAAGCCAGCTTGTGTCGGGTTCTGTTTGGAGAGGAGGAGGGACATGGAGTCGAGAGTCAACAGAGCAATATTACTGGCTATGCTGCGGTTGTAGGGTCAACAACTTAATCTTGAGCCAAGCAAATGGGTTGTCATCATCGTCGTTGTATAGGCCATTCTTACTCGATATTCTTCAGGACCTCCATGCGCGCAACGTTGGGATCCTTCTCCGCGACGTCGTTGTCCGCCCCAGCATCAGACATGTCCTCATCGTGATCGGCCGCTCCGTCGGAATTCTCGCTACTTTTTAAATCTTCGCGGAGCTTGTCTTCTGTTACGGAGCGGAAGCCGCCGGGCTGGGCGTTGACTCGAGCGATGAACTCGGCGAGATTCTTGGGCTTTTGGTCGGCAACGGGGAACGGCCGCAGTGAGAGCGGCGGCGGACCGTCGCCTGAAGACATGGCGGGGCTAATCGATAATCAGAAGCTCTTCTGTGAATAGCATCGGCCTCATCAGATGGATTGCGACACGAATGGCGACCAGTCGCGGCGTCTTGCGGAGGTCTGGAGCTGCAGCTTGACGAGGCTGAGAGCTACAGGTGCGTGGTTGGAGGAAGAGTCGGCGTGGGGGACAGCTAAAGGCAGCGCTGATTTGCTACATGGCTTAGCGCTGGATGGGCAGCTGCGGAGCCAACGTATGTACCCGCACTCAGCAAGTGGGTGCGCAGTGACATGAGACGGCAGCCTCGTGGCTTTGCCTGTGATCGAGTTAGCGGACTGATGAGCGCTACAAGTGGGCATTCGCTGGAGCTCTGCTGGGTTCAAGTTGTCAAAAAGCCCACATGGACTGCGATACTACAAAAGTTATTGCGACCTCGAGCTACACTAGTGGCGACAGCCAGCCGTACGAGTATGTATGTACTCGCATGTATTACGCCGTTGCTGCTCGCAAAGCTCCGAAAGCTCCAGTCCAGTGCTGAGAATTCCTACAGGGGGGCCCTAGCGCAGTAGCCGCCGACTGCCGGAGCTCCGTGCTGTAGGAAGTGCAGCCCTGTCGCAGATTTGCGGCGTCTCTCGACTCTGTCCAACTCACCGGCCGGCGGGTTTCCCAAATTCCCTCACTCTTTCATTGCCATTACGTGGTGCTTGTAGTCAATGCCCAATTGCATTGATCGGGCCAAGGCAATCATGCGATATGGCGCGGGATCAGGATCAGGATCAGGATCTGGGCGCTGAATTCACGAGTCCAATTACAGTTTCGGTAGCACAGCTGGAGGCGCAACGGCCGACTAATTACGTAGGAGGGGTCGGTCAGCTGTAATGACGAATGATGAATATCTTGTTGTCGGCGATAACATTGAACCCAGCAAGCTCTGAGCACCAATCTTCATCCCTCTTGGAAAATTACTATATTCTCTTCTTCTTCTCCGACATTATTCCACATCTTTAAAAAGTAAAAGTGCTGGGAAGAGAGAGAGATAAAACCCCCAAAAGGGCAAAAGAAAAAAAAAAGAAACTGCCCCGCCAGCTGATAACATCCATTTAAGGGCCGATAAGAGCTTCTTGTCTACCAATTCCCCTCATGCCACTTTGAACTACACCAACATTCCATACCGTATCATTTGCTCGCCATCTCCTAATTTTGCTCATCCCTGAGCTCACGGGCGGCAGGCCCTCTTAAATGCCTCTTCAGAGTTACCTAGAATTCTTCCCGGGGCCCATTGACATTCTCCTTACCTTCCGCCGCTTCTTTCGACGAATCTGGCGGGCTCTCTTTCGCGGACTTGGATACACCACCACGGCAGCCTTTGGCTCGAATCTACCGACTGAAATGACGCTCAAGAAGAAGATTGCCGTCATGACCTCGGGAGGCGACTCCCCGGGCATGAACGCCGTTGTCCGCGCCGTTGTCCGCATGTCCATTCACATGGGCTGCGATGCGTTCTGCATCTACGAGGGATACGAGGGTCTGGTGCAGGGCGGCGACTTCATCCGGCAGATGGGATGGGACGACGTCAGAAGCTTCCTGTCCGAAGGTGGAACGCTCATCGGAACAGCTCGATGCATGGCCTTTTACGAACGACCGGGCCGGTTGACGGCCGCCAAGAACATGGTGCTCAATGGCATTGACGCCCTCATTATCTGCGGAGGCGACGGCTCTCTGACCGGTGCTGACAAGTTCCGGGCGGAATGGCCTTCGTTGCTTGAGGAACTTGTCGACAACAAGGAGCTGACTCCGGAGCAAGTTGCGCCGTACAAGCATCTGAACATTGTCGGCCTGGTCGGATCCATTGACAATGATCTGTCAGGTACGGATGCCACCATCGGCTGCTACTCGGCCCTCTCGCGTATCTGCGAAATGGTCGACTACATTGAAGCAACGGCTTCTTCACATTCTCGTGCTTTCGTCATTGAAGTCATGGGACGACACTGCGGCTGGCTGGCGCTTCTAGCTGGAGTTGCGACGGGAGCTGACTTTGTCTTCATTCCCGAGCGGCCGAGAGACCAGGATTGGCGAGAGGACATGAAGATTGTCGTCCAGCGGGTAAGTTATAATACGCAATTGCATTTTACCTTTCTTTTAGATATGAGAATTATGCAGCTAACTTATGGTGCCTTTTTCTTCTTTGCGACAGCACCGTAACATGGGAAAGCGAAAGACCATTGTCATTGTCGCAGAGGGCGCCCGTGATAAAGACGGCACCAAGATCACCCCCGACGAAATCAAGGACCTCCTGGCCGACAAGAGCGAAGGTGGCCTCTGCCTCGACACCCGAATCACCACTCTGGGCCACGTCCAGCGAGGAGGCACCGCAGTGGCCTACGACCGCATGCTCGCCACGCTACAAGGTGTTGAAGCCGTCAAGGCCGTGCTGGAGGCCACCCCCGAGACCGAAACTTGCTTCATTGCCATCAACGAGAACAAGATTGTGCGAAAGCCGCTTATGCAGGCCGTCAAGGAGACCAAGGAAGTGGCCGTTGCCGTCGATGCCAAAGATTTCGACAAGGCCATGAGCCTCCGAGATACCGAATTCTCGGACCAGTACAAGTCGTACCTGACGACGACTAATGTCATGGTGGATGATCACAAGTTGCCCGAGAAGAGCGTCAGTCTTGCCACAGTTTTGCGACCCTATATCCTTTCCCTCTCCTTCTCTCCTTCTCTCCTTCTTCTTTCTCTTTGTTCATTTATCAATCACGTTGGCTAACTCTTTGCGTAGCGAATGAAAATTGGTTTCATCAACGTCGGCGCCCCTGCCGGTGGTATGAATGCCGCTGTGCGCGCGGCCGTTGCATACTGCCTCTCTCGCGGGCACGAGCCCCTTGCCATTCACAATGGCTTCGCCGGATTCGCTCGCCACCACGGCGATTCCCCCCTCGGGGCCGTGCGGCCCTTTGACTGGCTCGAGGTTGACGGCTGGGCAAGCAAAGGCGGCTCCGAGATTGGCACCAACCGCGAGCTCCCTTCCGAATCCGGCATGGAGCTGATTGCCAACCTCATTGAGCAGTACGAATTCGACGCCCTCTTCATTGTTGGCGGCTTTGAGGCTTTCCACGCCGTCTCTCAGCTGCGCAAGGCCAGGACCGAGTATCCATCGTTGTGCATTCCCCTTTGTCTCCTGCCGGCCACGATCTCCAACAACGTTCCCGGCACCGAGTACTCGCTGGGCTCGGACACTTGTCTCAACGAGTTGGTCAACTACTGCGACAAGATTAAGCAGTCTGCCTCGGCCACCCGCCGCCGCGTCTTTGTTATCGAGACGCAGGGTGGACGCTCGGGCTATGTAGCGACGCTGGGTGGCCTCAGCGTGGGGGCCTCTGCCGTTTACATTCCCGAAGAGGGAATTAGCCTCGAGATGCTGAATGCGGACGTCAAGCACCTCAAGGAGGTTTTCCGCAAGGACAAGGGCCAGTCCCGCGCCGGTCGCCTGCTTCTTGTCAACGAAAAGGCCAGCAAGGTGTACGACGCAAAGCTCATTGCCAGCATCATCCGCGAGGAGGCGCACGACCGATTCGAAAGCCGAGAGAGCATCCCCGGACACGTGCAGCAAGGAGGCGTTCCCTCGCCCATGGACCGCTGCCGCGCCGTTCGACTGGCCATTAAGTGTATGCAGCACCTGGAGGAATATGGCCGCAACGCGCACAACCGGGTGAAGAAGGATCCCAACAGCACAAGTGTCATTGGCATCCAAGGCTCCGAGGTCGTCTTCACACCAATCGAGGAGCTGGAGGAGAAGCACACGGACTGGCCGAACAGAAGACCCAAGATAGCGCACTGGCTGGACATGCGAGAGGTGGTTGATATCCTGGGCGGGAGACCAGACTATCCCAAGCCGGAAAAGAGCTTGACGGGACTTATTGCCAAGGATACGAAGCGCGGAATCTACTCGGGTGCGGACTAACCGGGGATTATGACTACTTGTTATTGTTTCTTTGGGATTGATGAGGGCGAGAGTATTAAGATTACATGGGGGTTTGATGAAACGAAGAGTATCAAAATAACATGGGCTTGTTCAATAGTGTTTAAAACAAAGAATGTCTGAGAAAGAAAGAAAAAACAGTATTATTAAAGAATTATAAAAAACATGATTATAAAGGAAGAGAAATACTGGCTAGTACAGCATATCGTGTTTCCAATATTAAGCTACATAGTGAGCAATGATGCCCGAAACTACTAAGGGAAACATAGCCACTGGCAGCAAATATCAGAAAGATGTCGTCGGGTAGCAACAGTAGCAGACACTAGAACCAAGTATTAAGCATGGAAGAGCAGAAAAAAGGGGGCAGCATCGAAGAGGGCTGTGAGGCTGAGATGCCTGCTGCTGCTGCTGCTGCTGCTGGGGGGGGGGGGGGGGGGGGGGGGGGCCGAAAAACTGGGATTGTGCAACCGGCCCCAAACCCCAAAACGGGCCACCCTTTGAAT